GAGAGAGAGAAATATATATCTACACACGAAGTTTTAGAGCATACTTTTACAAATTTAATGTCCAGAATGTAAGGATATCTTTAGAGCCCCAAACTCTGTGGGCCCCCCACAGTTTCTTGCTCCACTAACCCCTTGACGAAATCCTGGATCCGCCTCTGCTGCACTCAAAGAAGAAACTTCTCACAGCCGACTTATGCAGTTTTCAAGGGCGAAGATGGTGACATGAGGCCGCCAGTTTCAGAACACGATGAAATCATACGTGTCCGATCTTCTGGTAAAGCTTCCAGCCAGATCGGTTGAGCGGCTTACATTGAAATTGACTACATGCCCGGAAGTAGTTTCTGAAGAAGCAGAAGTAGTTTCCGCGGTTTTCGAGGTGAAAACGGTGACCTGGGGTCAACAGTTTTAAAACTGCTGATGAAATTGCATGTGCTTTCTTCTAAAATAAGTTTCAAAACGATCTGTTCTGCAGTTTCCGTGCCTGAACTTAGCGTTAATGCCCTAAAGTGGTTTATGCAGTTTTTGAAAGCGAGAATGAAAACACGAATTATCACTTCCAGAACGCCTGGTGAAATCGTACGCGCTCTCCGCTGTGGTGAAGGTTTTTAACACGCGCCCAAGTGGCCGGCTAGATACCCTTCGCTCAGGTGGGCGGCGGGGAGGGGGGGGGGGGAGGGGCGGCAATTTGACCCGCCCCTCTGAGATCTTGGGAACCAAGAAAGCTACAGACACCAAATTTACAGGGTGTGTTGACCTGTACGTGAACTCAATCAGGTCAAAGCTTGAGGCTCCTGCGTCAAGAACTTTGGGTCAAATAAGGTAAAAAAAGGTTAAATTTCAGGTTGGTCTACAAAGTTGCCCCAGAACCTAAATACCTATTTCTTAAAAAAGGTCAGGTGCTGATTTAAGGTCCGCGATATCGTTTGACCTTTTGAAGGTCACCGTGACCAAAATCGTACAAGACTGTTGTGAGTTTTGCGTTTGAATAAGCCACAAAGGTTACGCGAGGCAATATATTTCTGCAAGCAAAATGTTGACTTGGTCCGTAAAAGATGCATAATGCAGTTCCTCCTATCAATACATTCGAAATGAGCACCAGAAATTATCCTATACAGCAAGCCCTAGAGTAATAAAACGGGATGGTTTCGACCTTGGTCTGTCCTTCACACCTGACCTCAGGTCAACGAAATTTGCTGATTCAGTATTTGTGTTGCCTAAGAAAGCGTCTCAGGGATGTGCCACTTCGTCTAACACTCCGTTGTTGCAACAGATTGAAAGATTCCCCGGAAATTTAATTCGCTGAAACCATAGCGTGACTTTGACCTGCCATAGGTCAGCGACTTTACATGGCACATCTAAATTTTTGACGCCAAACGATTTTTATTCAATTGTCTACAGCTATGCCAAATGTGGCGTGGCAACGCCGCGCCGTTCGGAAACCATTCTGGAAAAATCTTTGAAGGGGCGGGGGAATTTGACCCACCCACCCGAGCGCGTATTGAACGGTTTGCTGAGCTGTTTCCGTGCTTTGAGTCGTGTGCGATGCCCCAAAGTGGCTCATACGGTTTTAGCAGGTCAAGATGGTGATATGACATCGCATGTTTCAGAACGGATCATAAAACCGCGTTCTAGGCTTCAATTGGTGTTGGTTTAACGAAAATCTGACAACCGGTTCCGTAGTGTGGACTTGTATGACGTGTGTGTATTTGGAAGGTACGAGTAAGGCTCCCATGTCGACTCAACGCGTTAGCACAGACCTCACAGTTCAAAGGCTTTTCGAACTGTGTACGTTCGACCATGCTCGGTCAAACTACGCGGCATCTCCATAACTTCCCACTGACTTTACAACTGAGTGGCTTGCGTCAGGTATGGTTCCAAACGTGGTCAGTCGGCTGTTGGCCTGTTTGGATCCATACATGCAACGCGAGGATGTCGTTTCGCGTAAACGAGATGCTGCACATGTGACATCTGAACGACTTTATCCGGCGGCATCGGCGTGAGTTTAAACACATTCTTTGCTTTAAACGATCCTTGGTTCCAGCCGAGCAAACCGACTTCTCGGAGCATTTCACGTGCTCCGAGTCCATTTTGATTGGTACGTTCGACCTTTTTCGACATATTTTACAACATATACATATTTCACCATCTACATATATTTCAACGTTTACATATTTCACAATATTTACATACTTAACATCGACATATTTCATTAAAGATCGCATCTTTCCACAGACATACGTTATGGCAAGCTCCACAACCACCATTCTCAAATACGCGGCTACGAACCACAGCATGCATATCACTCGCCGTAGCCACACGTTTTCCGCCATTGACACGCAATCACCTTGTTTGGCCTATAGAAGTAAAACACCAGAACCCTCCTGTTCTTTTGATTTTTAAGCACCAAGTAGCGTCAAACATTACCCAAGGAGGTATACTCAAAAGCACAAAAATCTAATCGGGGTCATTGTAGGTCAGCGATTTTTTTTTAGGCCTCTTGAAGTTAACCAACACATCTGTTCGCCTATCTGCAATCCAGAAACTCCAAATGAGCGTCACAAACTCTCACACATAAAGGAGTCCAGTAAGAAATGAAACCGACTTTGGCCTCGCACCTGACCTTCATATCTCACCAAAGGTAAAGCAGTTGGCCGTAATGCCGAATCAAGGAAATACTATCAAACCAAATCGTCTCGGATATGCATGCCGTCGTGCAACATTCTGCTGCTGCTTAAGGGTTTGACGACTCCCGAGGAGTTCCCTTCCATAACGACACTAGCCTGACTTTTCAGGTAAGCGACCTTACAAAGAGCGTCTAATTTTGTAGCATCAAGTGATCGGCTATTTACTTGGCTACAACTGTAGAGTTTGGCACGGTTATGTTGCGCCGTTCGGAAAATGAGTTGGAAAAACGTCTGAGAGCTCAAATTGACCCACACCAGAGTGCGTGTAATGATACCTAGGTGATTGTTACCGATGGGAACTGACGTGCACTGTAAAGCACTGCATTCTATTGAATGCTTTCCCACAAACGTCACAACTGAATGGCTTCTTACTGGCATGTCTCCGAATGTGCACCGTAAGGTTCCAATTGCTACTGAACTTCTTCCCAGAGACATGACAACTAAACGGTTCCTCACCGGTGTGTGTCCGAAGATGCTTTGCTAGGATCCCTATCTGATTGAACGACTTGTCACAGACTTCACAACTGAACGGCCTCTCACCTGTGTGAGTACGGAGGTGAATTTTAAGGGTTCCATTGTGACTGAACACCTTCTCACAGACCTCATACCCTGAAAGCTTTCCCACAGACCTCACAACTGAAAGGTTTTTCACCTGTGTGAGTCCGGAGGTGGCTGGTAAGCCCCGAATGGTAACTGAACGCCTTTCCACAGACCTCGCAACTGAATGGTTTTTCACTTGTGTGAGTACGGAGGTGGTCAGTAAGGTTCCCATGCTGACTAAACGCCTTCCCACAGATCTCACAACTAAACGGTTTGCCACCTGTATGCATCCGGAGGTGGCAAATAAGGTTGCTTTGTTGACTGAACGCCTTCCCACATACTTCACAACTGAACGGCTTTTCATCTGTGTGAGTCCAAAGGTGATTAGTTAAGCTGTCATATCGCCTGAACGCCTTCCCACAAACCTCACAACTGAAAGGTTTTCATCTGTGCGAGTCCGGATGTGGTAAGCAAGGCTGCCTCACTGCCTGAACTCTGTCCCGCAGACCTGACAACTAGACGGTTTTTCACCTGTGTGAGTCCGGAGGTGGTCAGTAAGGTCCCAACGTTCATTGAACGCTTTCCCAGACCTCGCAATTAAATGGTGTTTCACCTGTGTGAGTACGGAGGTGGCGAGTGAGGCTCCCATGTTGACTGAACGCTGTCCCACAGACTTCACAACTAAACGGCTTTTCGCCTGTGTGAGTGAGGAGGTGGCGAGTAAGCACCGAATGGTAACTGAACGCCTTACCACAGACCTCACAACTGAACGGTTTTTCATCTGTGTGAGTACGGAGGTGGTCAGTAAGGTTCCCACGTTGACTAAACGCCTTCCCACAGATCTCACAACTAAACGGTTTGTCACCTGTATGCATCCGGAGGTGGCAAATAAGGTTCCTTTGTTGACTGAAGGCCTTCCCACATACTTCACAACATAACGGTTTTTCATCTGTGTGAGTCCAAAGGTGATTAGTTAAGCTGTCATATCGCATGAACGCCTTCCCACAAACCTCACAACTTAACAGTTTTTCGTCTGTGTGAGTACGGAGGTGGCGAGTAAGGCTCCCATGTTGACTGAACGCTTTCCCACAGACTTCACAACTAAACGGCTTTTCGCCTGTGTGAGTCAGGAGGTGGCGAGTAAGCACCGAATGGTAAATGAACGCCTCCCCACAGACCTCACAACTGAACGGTTTTTCACCTGTGTGAGTCCGGAGGTGGTTAGTGAGGTTGTCATGTCCACTGAACGCCTTCTCACAGATCTCACAACTGAAAAGCTTCTCATCAGTGTGCGTCCGACTACGTTTGGTCAAACCACGACGGCATCTCAGTAACTTCTCACCGACTTCACGCCTGAGCGGCTTGCTGTCGGCGTGGTTACCGTGATCAGTCGGCTTTTGGCCTGTGTGAATCCGATCATGCAACGCGAGGGTATCGCTTCGCTCGAACAAAGTGTCGCAAAATGTTGACTTCATCGAGCGGTCAGACTGGCTCTGAGCGCAGTGTTTGTTTGAAACGATTCGTTCATCCCGAAAGGCCGGGCGAAGCGTGTCTTGGTGTTGGCATTTTACTTGCTCTGAGACACCATTTTGATCGGAACGTTCGAATTTGCAGTATTCACAGCGCAAGAGAACAGCGTCTGAAAACATAGGCATAGTGTTAGACCAGGAGCGCCGACTTTCGCCATGCCTTCGGGTGAGACAATAGTGATAAGCCTTACTCCTCGGTAAAAACCAGGAGATTAGGGACATAGGTTGATATTTCGGCAACATGCCTTTCTCAAAACAACAGCAGAAGTGAATTCACTTCTGCTAATGTTTCGAGAAAGGCATATTGCCGAAATATCAGCCTGTGTTTTTCTTTTGTTTTCCGTTTCACGTTTTTCCGAGGAACAAGGCTAATACCACTGCCTTAGCTATGTGACTAATGTTCCTCGCCAATGCACTGAACAACTCACGTCTTACGTAATTCTATTTCCATTACGTAATTTTATTTTTATTTTTATTATATTTCCATTTTCTATTATATCATTAATTTATCATAGAATTCAGTTTTATTAAATTATAAATTTAATAAAATTTAATTACGCAATGCCTCCAAGTCCGCGCTAACGTAAAGCTAATGGAGGGTATACGGAGTTGCATTGCCGTGACACCGAGCACGGACACAGCCACCGCGTCTTGACCAAATTTAGGACCTTTCATGAAGGTGACTGCGCCCTTGTACCAAATCTAACTTGAATTCTCTACCTGTTCGGTATAGCCATATGTTGTAAAGTGCTGCTTAGAACGCTGTTAGAAGGACCATAAAGAAATAACAGATACCATTTATGTTTTTAAAATACAACCTGCAGATTCAACCTTGGTATGGACGGACGAATAATTTCCTTGGGTCACATGCCTGTTCAAGGACCCAGTCTTAATACATGTCTGCCAAAAAAGGCATACATACCGGTTTGTTTCTATTTGATGTCCACACTCCAGACAGACAACGCGGATAAACGAATAACCCTTCAGATAGCGGCCAAATGATAAGTGATTCGGGTAAGCTGCCCTATAGTAGTAGCAACTCCAGGCTGAGAAACAGATGGCTCTTTCGAATGGAAGAGTTAGCGGACGAACTAAGAGTCATTTTCAAGATAATTCCAACCATTTCAGAGCAGTGAACTTCTGAAGGCTTCAAATCCTTTCGAGCTCGAGCTCGGCGCTTTTTTCGCGCCGCCCCACTTCAAGCTGGCTGGAGATTATGACGCCATATAATCGAACCTATTGGACGTCCTCAATGGCCATAGTATATTCTGGGGAAAGACATATTTGGCAGTGGCGTATTTGTGGCTGTCAGCACGAATCGTGACATGAACGGATAGCAATCATGGCATCAGCGGACTATGTCAAGGACGCATACCTGCCGTGCGAGATGGGAAGCCATCAGCTGCCTTCAGTAAATCCTCATCTGAAGCCGACAATGCCAAAGGATCAGGCTTGATATCATCAGGAACGTCTGAAAAAGCAGCATTGTAGATCGCTAGAAATCGTCATAACGCATGTCATCTTTTACAGCCATTTCGGTCGGGCTGGGGAGCTGAGAGACAGCCTCTAGCTTCATGATGAACGCAAGCGATTCGTGGACTACTAATGTAATTCTAACGCACCGCGTACGACCCCAGCAACAGATAGTTGTCATCCCTGACGGTGTTCCGTTGGGTAAACGAAAACTAGTGCGTAGTTCTCCTTTACGGTGATACTGATGCCAATCCATACGACCGCTTTTCAAAACTGCCTCTCAGTTCGTACCTAATACCCCAGCCGAGCCATCGACAGCACTCAAGACATCCACTTGTGAAGGTGACAATGTCAGCAGATCTGGCTTGACATCAGGTGTGACATCAGGACCTACAAAAGTATTGGGAGTGAGCAATACTTAAAATGGTCCTAAGGTCAACAGTTCTGTTAGCACGGGAAATGGAAGATGAAAACATAAATATTGACATGTCTTGAAGAGGGTCGGGCAGGCATTATTTATAGTTGGGTTAATTTTTAGCCCAGCCAGGTCTTAAAGTCCAGCCCTTTTAACTTCTTGTATGAGCCCGCTTTTATAAAATTAATCATAGAGGCTAAACTTTCTTTCCCTTCATTTTCATGGCAACCACGGGACACTCCTTTAACTCCTTTTTTCTGATCTATCAGGAAATACTCAGAGGTGGGTGATAAGGGGGGGGGGGGGGCTGGAAAAGGGAGGTCTGCGGTTTTAGTAGTAAGAAGAATCGCTAGGACTGCATTGCTGTGCAGATATGCTGAGATATGCGGCTGTGCCAGCATGCTGCAGGCCACCAATACCTTCATTATCATAATTGTGATATTCTTACGGTTAGATGATAAGGTGTCCATAGAATACTCCTGTTCGGTGATTGGACATGGTGTTGAATATCGTAAAAACGTTAGTTGAATTTACTAAAGAAATACGTAAGTTTTTACATGTAAATATAACATAAAATCAAACAAAGATTCAATCTTGAAGCGTCCAACACCAGTATGTACGATGACAATAACACAGCGACATTTCAGAAAGCTCTCATCATCTTCCTTCAAAATATCATAATTCCTATAATTGTACGATGACAATAACAGCCAAATTTCAGGAAGCTCTCATCATCTTCCTTCAAAACATCATAATTCCTATAATGACGACAGACGTCCGTCTGTCACCCTGGCAGCACGATACTGACGCACCAAGGCCATTCCGATGAATTACAAACGTTTGCTTCTTTTCACGTGGAGTGTGCGCAGGAAGCTACGCGCGTGCGCCGCCCTTGGTGCGATAGCCATGTTGCACTCGGTGGAAAACTTCTCCCAGCCGGACGCAATGACAAAACTATTGACATAATCACATCAATAGCGCTCAACACCCACCGCCTTATACTTTAAGAGTTGTACCAGAAGTTGTTTGTCTGTTTGGGGCTGTAGAGATTCCGTTAATGAATATACTATAACAAATTTGGGAAAGTACTTGCTGTCATATTCTGCATTTGAACCCCCCCCCCCCCCTCCCCTTCTCGATCGATCAATACGCACGATAGAACCATTCTGGAGGACAATACAGACGCACTTCACACGCACTGCGGTAAGACGCTAGCAATCGAAGCAAAGCAGTGTCTTTTCAGAAAACCATACGCCCATTTATTTACTTACATGCCTTTAAGCGTGATTTCTACAATTCACTTGGGCGCAATGGAGCTGGTTTTTTTCCACAGTTCTGCCAAAACGACAAGTTTCACACTCAAGTTTAAAAGACCGTGGCTATGAATGTGAGCATGAAACTAATAGCAAAACGCCTTTCCGCAATTACAAGCATCTAAACGATCCTCATCGGTGTGAACAAACGTGCCCTACAAGAATGTTCCTTCGACTGAAGGACTTCCCGCGGACATTACAACTGCAAACCGTGTCGCCATGATCTCATCTGGTCTGGTTATTTCAGTCACCATTTAGCCATATAAACGCGGGATGGAAGAGCTCAGCCGTAATTACGGTCTCGGACACATGAGCGAGAGCTACTTTTCAATTTGTACATAAATCGTCCAGGGCCAAGGTCAAATGGAGATGACCTTGGTGGTGAATAAGCGCTTGGATCGATTTTCGCGTTGTTTTCGACAGTTCAAAATGCCGACAGTGCAACGACAGTGCAACAGTGCATGGACAGTGCAACGAGACAACCGTCAACCACCGCCGCCAGTCACGTGGTCGTCGATTTGCATGTGAAACTGGTAAGCCGGTTGAAACTGAAATTGTGAAACTGTGAAACTGTTGAAACTGGTTTCCGCCGCCTGGTCACCGCGCCGACTGGGCAGACCCGAGCCCCGCCGCCCACCGCGGCGGGCCCAGGCCCACCTGGCCAGGGGCGACATGCGTTGTGATGTCTATCAAACCAAGCCATGACTGATCCACTGTTACAGGTAATTGCTTGAAACTTGGTTCAGCCACCATCCAAAGTCGCATCTAAGACACCTGTCAGATGTTTTCATCACTTTGAGCCTGAGACCAACAAATGTTAAACACGCGCTCGGGTGGGGGGGGGGGGGGGGGGTAAATTGATCCGCGAAAGTGTTCCCAGAATTGTTTCCAAACGGCATAGCTGAAGACAATTCAAAAGCGCATCGTCTGACATCAAAAATTTAGATGTACCTTGAAAGGTCGCTGACCTATGGCAGGTTAACGGCAGGCCATGGTTTCAGCGAAGGCACGTCCTAGGGAATCGTTCAGTCCGATCAAACAACAGGGTGTCAGACGAGGCCATACATCTGTGATACTTTCGTAGGCAACACAACAACTGAATACACAAATAGAGTTGACCTAGGGTCAGGTATGAAGGTCAGACCAAGGTGAAAACCAACCTGTTTTATTACCCTCGGGTTTGCTGTATGGACTGGTTTCTGGTGCTCATTTCAATCATATCGATAGCAGGAACCGCATTATACACCTTCCATGGACTTCCTACAGGTCAGAATATGTCAGTGACCCAAAATGACCCATGTCAATATTTTGTTGTTAGGAACATACTGCCTGGCGTAATTTTTGTCGCTGATCCAAATGCAGAACTCAACAGTCTTGTATCATTTCGGTCATCATGACCTTTAAAAGGCAAACAAGGCCACTAACCTTATCTGAGCGTGTGACATTTTGCTTAGAACAGTTGCCTGGGTTCTACGGGCCCTTTGGAAAACAATCCATAATTTGACCTTGTTTGACCTTACCTGACCCGAAGGTCATGACCTACAAACATCAAACTTTGGCCTGGGAGAGTTCACGTACAGGTCAACACAATCTGTGAATTTGGCGTCTCTAGCTGTCTTAGTTCCCAAGATTTCAAGGGGGGGGGGGGCAAACTGATCCCCATCGAAGCGAAGGGTATCCAACCGGCCACCCGGGCGCGGGTTGATATATTTGAATCAAAATTTTTGTTATTTGACATGCCAATATTTCAATGCGCAATATTGAAACAACACAACGACACCCGGGCGCGTGCTAAGATACTTCGATCAAAATTTCTGTTATTTGACATGCCAATATTTCAATGCGCGGTATTGAAAAAAAAAAACACGACAAATCATAAGGATTATAGACTAACTCGCTCACATTTTCCGTTTAACGATATAAAATATGTTCTTTCGTTCGGCTTCTGTGCCAATTTGTCAACGGCTACGTGCTTTTGCCGAAAAATTGGCAAACATGACATCCCTCAGACGTCACTCACGGTTGATTCATTATGATCTCATAGCTATCATTTTCCCACAAGGCGAAGACCTCATCAATTAAGATCTCCAAAAATTTAGCGGCGATTTTTCGAGGCGTTTTCGAATAACCGTAAAAAGGTGTTATGTCTGGACGTTGATAACCCATACCAACAGGTGATGACATCTTGTGACCACCACTAGAGGCCTGCACACCTCTGATGTAAGGTAATGTAAAGAAGCACACGCATCAATTTTCAATTTCCAAAAATCAGTGTGCAGTTATCTGTGACTCCAGCACAAAACTTACCTAGAACTGATGGCCTGTGGATTGTTGGCATTGCGAAACCACACATGAACTGGGTAGTATCCGTAGTATCCCTAGTATCAGCATCTCCACCATGCGGCAGTGACTGGTAGCTCCCAGTCAGCACTTCATATGGTCTGCAACATGCACGCGATTCATGGCATTGTCGTCGAACAGACATTTGTGATGTTGGCGATTTATTCTGTGATTTATTCAGCGTTTTATTCAGTACAGGAGTACGACTACTCTGGAAGCACGTCAGGTGGTCAATTATGGCAAAAGTGCATCGCAATTCACGCATTCTTTGCAATATCGGGCGCCCTTTAACCCTAAATTCCATGCCAATTCACGGGGAATTAAGCATCACCCAAGGATTACGGGATGATTTCGACTTTTTCAGCATCATAATATTTACCAACGCCTTTCAAGAAATAGCGTCAGGCAAAAAAATCCTGACCTATAAAGGTCACCCTGCGAGGTCAAACTCACTCAAATCGCGGCAAACTTCATTTCACCAAAAATGTTCGGTCGCTTTGAACTTTTCAAGCAACGGAATGCTCACAAGTGCAAGAACCAGGGTCTATCAAAGTCATCAAAACTCAACGTCACCTTTTAAGGTCAAATTCGCGCTCAAAAGACCGGGAATTACATATCACCAAAATAATAACGGTCGGCATCAATTCTTAAACAATCAAAACATCGATCAAAGAAAAATCACTTGTCAGCAAAAAAAAAAGAAGAAAACCTACGATCACCTTTCACGGTAAAATGAAGACTCACAGAGCGGAACACTAAATATCAACAATACAAAATTTCAACTTTTCAAGCTTCATAACATTCACCAACGCACGCAATGGCGTTCGTAACAAAACCCTGATCTCTCAAGATCACCATTTAGGTCAAGTTAAAGCTCAAATGGTTGTGAGCTACATCCCACCAAAAAAATACCGGTCAATTTTCATTTTCAAGCACCAGAACAATCCGGAGTGGTTGGAGTGAACAATGATTGAGAGTCAATTGACGGCCGTTGTCTGGAAGTGGCGCTCACGAACGCCAGATGTGAACGCCTCGGCACTTACACTTTTATTGGCCTTTATCGGCACACGACTTTAGAAATGACAGGATTTGAGCGACGCTATTGGGGCATCATAAATGCCAAGGTGACTTTAAAATACCCTCTCTGAAATATTCTCACACATTTTTGCAGGTGCGTGGCTCAGAAATTACAAGGGTTTAAGGCCTTTCAGACGTCTATTTGACTTCAAAACTCCACATTTTTTTTAGAACTTCCTTTAAGCGCTATTGATCATTCTGGTGCTTAAAAGTCCGAAATCACCTGGTAATTTGAAAGTCACAACGAGCCTCCTGACGTTTGAGCGTTAATTTGACCATGAAAAAGTCCTGAGCGTTGGGTCCTTTGAATGGACAAAGGGCCTTGAGCTGTTAAGTAGCCCAATACTTAAAAACAGCTGCCATCAAATTCTGAATTTTCAAGCATTAGAATGTGCATCAGAGCAGCGAACGGCGTCACCCAGTCATTTTCGGTGTTCTTGTCCCATATCTGATCACCAGACCCGTTTTCAGTGAAATGAGAACTTGTCACTGAAAAATGAGCTGAAAAAAATCGCCAACTTCACGGACATGCACAATATGCACACATTGTTTCTGGTTCAGCAATCAGGTGTTTGCAGTCCTCAGTTTTTTCTGTTTTTTTCTGTTTCTCTGTTTTTGCATTACATTGAAATCGTGGTTTGATCCGACATTTGATCCAACATCCAACATTTTCACCATTGCCACTTTTCAAAAGGGAATAAACAGAACAAGGAGCAGTATGATTTTTACTCACTTAAAGATTTCCTGGCTTTTGAATCCTGGAAAGTCATATGGTGGCGAAGGAGGACGATCACAAAGGTGTGTTGCTTTTTGGGCATTTTGGAGGCGGGTAGCACTGCTTCTCTGTGATGCAGTCTCCTGTGGAAAAGCAACCATTTTGAGAGTAATTGGGGGGCAATGAACATGTGGTGAGCCAATAAGCCATGCTTACCTTCACATACCATACATTTCTCATAAGCATCCTTATTTTCAGAGACCCTGCTTGGTGCAATGCTGAAATATTTTGAAGCACTTTATGGGCATGGTACATTTTGCATTTGATGTCACCTATCTGTTGGTCTGCAACATCTTTCCTTGTATGGTCATCATACATACATGGGAATTCTCTGGCATACATAAATGCACTGGAGGAGAATCATGAGTAAGAAGACACAAACAACATGCCATCATTGCAAAATGTTTTGGGTGTATGCAGTGCATTGATATACTCTCAGGTAGATGGAACTGAAAGCATCAATAATACCAGTGTTGACTGCAGTTCAATGATATCTTGCTTGCCTGAATTACATATCTTAAAAGCACATCATATAAAACTAAGATTTACACCCTGGACAAAAGCAATGCATCATTATTTTCTAAGAATCAGTTTTTCAAATTTCAAAATATTCTTACAGCAAATCTCCAGACACATACCTAACAGTGTGAAGTATTCCACACAAAATATCTGGCACAAAAGTACAACACACCTTTAGACACATGGATGCTGGCAATGGTGTGAGCACCACTGAGCATCTCTTGATCTGACTGGTGCCTGTATACTGGCCTGTATGCTGGGCATGCTTCTTCAAGCGTGGCTTGCTCAGGTCCTCGGAGCCAGCCATTCCCTTGAACTCTTGTTGATCAGTGCCTAACTTCAAAACTTTTCAACCATAGCTGGATCAAGCAGACAATTTGTCAATATTCCATTCAACCACTCAGTTCACAGTGGCATACCCATGTGCACCTCCACACACAAGAGGCACAAAGAAGTATCTTTTATTTAAAGTCCAACCAACATAATTGCCAGAGCTGGCTTTTGTGAATGCAAACTTATACACCTCATAGTGATGGAACATAACCATAAGCACTGGGACAAAAGGAAGCAGAAGCCATTCTACATAGTGTTATGCTGAGAAAAATGTAACTACATGAAAGATGCACTGATAATGGCTGCTGTGAAGTCCTTCAGCATTTGGCCACTTCGGTGGGAGATGTGTCAAGTACTTTCTTCATGTTGTTACACTCCTGACTTGAGGTTTACTGCCTGTAGACACTGCCTCTCGGTCAGGGTGTACTTTCCTACCTCATGTTACAAAAGAGCATTGTACATCAATCGTTGTTTTCAAGGCAGAACATATCATAATTAATCGTAAAACAGATCATCTATACTCTTACCTTGGAACTTAACCAATTACGACACCGAACATCCAACCGCCGCAAACACACAGCATCCGCGACACCGGCGCCATTACTGTGCGCGGTCACATTACTGCGCATCAAGCAGCATCAAGAACCATAAAAATGTACGGGGCCAAGGTAAAAAGAATCACAGCACTCGGCGAAAGAACTCAGTCATATCTTCGAAGCACCAGACGGACTGAAAACTACACCCACAGATCACCACTTTTTTGCATGAAGGCTGCCGCTATCCGCGGAATTTACCCCAATCGAGGCTTTCGAGCTTTTGGGCCCCAGTAGGCACTTAGACTGGGCTCCGGTCCGGGTGATCGCATGACAGGAAAAAATGATCGCCTCAGGGTAGCCTAGGACGGTGAACCGAAGCTAGCGCGTGTACATCTCTCACTTACCTGGCTGAGGTATCTTTGAGGAACGGTCGGGTATAACAGCGCAGGAAGCTAAGGTCCTCAAGCTCCTCGGCCGGGGCTCCCGACCAAAACATGGCCAGGCTCATTCACGCGGCTCCACCTAACAGGAACAGTCAAGTCAATGCACACTGAGGCCAGGCCACTTACCAGAGTTCGGCTCATCACAAGCCTTCACAGAGCGTTAAAGACATGGTCAGATTTAACAGAAACAGATTTCTCTTTTGTTTAACATGAACATATTTATGTTCAAATCGAGCTGAATCATGACTCGGCTGACGAGTCAATCGCTTTGTGGAGCTGCGTCGATCACCAGCAAAAAAATCGCTTTGAGTTATGAACAAAATCACATGCCTCGTAAGTTGCATGGATTGAATCAAGAGCCGATCTAACAACGTTGCGTCAGTGAGCCCTATCGCCCGTACAAAAATGGTAGCACGAGGGAGCACAGCTCACCCCAGATGAATTGCTAAAGACAGTTTCAAATTTTAAAAAGAGCGGCATCCAACATTCCTTATAAAGCTTTTTGGCAACCTTAGCTTTAAGTTTGCTAGTGCAGTTTCTAAACAACAACCACAATATTGCTGATCCGAAACGAAAGCTCGCCATATTTCAGCCATGAATCAGAGGCGTGTATATAAAAGCTAGATATATGCATATACATATAAGCTATATATATACATATATATATATATATATATATATATATATCCCTTCCTAATTAAGCCAGTTGAAATTAGACGTAATAGATGTAGTAATTAATACTCAAAGTCAACGCTGTTATCGTTGCCACCGTTTCACCCTTACAACGTCGCAGAACGCGTTCATTTGGCTACACCGCTGCTCGTAGATCGTGCAAATTTACGTTCATTCATGGTCATCATGGCGCCTCACATGATATGTCAGATCGCTTAGGCACGTTTGCTAAATTACTAGCATTTCCACTAGGGTAGCGATTCACACTTCCACAAGTACTTAAGAACATTGACACGGCGTTCGCATCCGCATCACTGCTAGATGTTGCGCAGGTGAAACACTGGATGCATCACGGCTATACCGTGATTTATTTTGCCACCTCACCGTTACAGGTCACCACCAGAAACCAGGTGACCAAAGCTAACTATGAGTGCACTCATGTCGTTTCAGCCTGCCTCATTAAGTAATCGATCACTTACGCTGTGCAGTGGTAGCAGAAAACGATACTGCTACGCCAACGTTACGGCAGGTTTTATGTTTTATTTCTTGCGAAACACGCAAACGCATTCCACACGCGCTGCGCCCACCGCGGACATTTCAGAGCAGAATGTACAAAAAGTAGCCTTGACACACGCTCGGGCGGGGGTCAAATTTACCCCCCAAAGGTCGTTCCAAAATGGCTTCCGAACAGCGCGGCGTAGCCTCCCCAAATTTGGCATGGCTGTAGACAATGGAATAGCAGATCGTTCGGTACAAAATGTATAATTTCGGGCGAATGAGTGCAGGTAGTAACAGTGCAGGACCCTCCGAGCAAATGCAAAAATTAAGTGCAACGCGGAAGGCTTTTGAACGACACCGCATTTACCTTGCCAGCGGGCATATATCCTTACCCGGAAACAGCGTAGGAGCCTTTGAACAACCTACTGAGCCTCAAATCTCCCAACGACCACCCTCTCAATTAGTAAATTATTACTTTTGTCTGCTCGTGGGCCATTCACTTTCGCCTGCGACTGTTCTTGGTCGCCTCGGAGTACAAAAACAAACAATTTTGTTGTGCTTTGTGCTTAAAAGACTGCGTCTGGTCGGCCGGCTTTGGACGGCTTCGGCTTGGACGGCCCTATGGACTCCTACGGCACCCAAGGGGGAGCATGACGCCGTGCCACCTCCCCCCCCCTCCTGGATCCCCCTGGTTTTGCGAATTATGAAAAGCTGGGTACCAGAAACCTAGAGCTGTTCCCCATAATATCTGATATATTCAATACATATCTGGCTTCCAATACATATCTGATATAGTCAAGTTTGGATATTTGAAAGTGCCCTTGAATAAATGTCCTGAGAAAAAAACCGAGAGCGCTAAGTTCAGGCATATTTTTGCGTTTAAGGTCTCCGAAATGTTCTAGATGCACTCGAAGTTGCAGGTGTTTCAAGTGGTTTATGGTGGATCATATGCTGAAGCATGTTAGGTAATGCAGAACCATAGCTTAGGGATAAGACCTGCCCCATTTGGTGCCAGATTCAGGATGTCTTTATGCTTAAGATCTTGCTGACATCTTTGCCATGGCTTGTAGAGTGGTCGAGTGCTTGGAAGCAATTACACTCGGTAGATTGAGATGGTGTTCCATAAAAAGAAAGCCATATGCATTCTTTGGTAAGCCATTTCGGTACAATATGGATACCCGGAACATGTGACATCAACATACCATTGGGGTGTTGCGTATATGAGGAAGAGGGTGGTCTGCCACACGCTTTTTCAGTGGCATAAATAACAGGAAACCCTCGGAACCATTCCATTCTGTAGTAGTATCATAGGGTTATTGACTGACATAATCAGGAAATGCAGTTTAATTCCCCAACAAGGCCATGATACAGTTATTACAAGTTTGCCATACAAGGTGATGAGGAGCGTGCCAACTGTCCGAATGTGTGTTTTGCTCGTAAGTTTTTCGATCCTAACGTTCGTATATTGCCTGATCCACCTCTACTCGATGCGCCTGGACTAGACAGCTTTGTCGTACCACATGGCAGTATACCACGCTTGTTACGCGATATCAGTACACACAAGGTCTGTGGTCCTGACGGGCTCAGTGCCCGGATTCTCAGGGAAATGTGCCGAGGAGCTAGGTGTTCCGGTAGAAATAATATGCAAGCTTTCTGTGAACACTGGCGTCTTCCCCTCCCATGTGGAAGCAAGCGAATGTGATACCGGTGCATAAGAAGGGGTCCAAAAAGCTGTCTGAAAATTTCAGTCCTGTGTCTTTTGCTTTCTATCTCCTCACAAATTTGGAGAAAATTATGAGCGAAAGCCTATTACAGGTTTGTCTGCCCACCCTTCCCTCATCCAGCACGAATTCCTTCCAAAGCGCTCTTGCATCACAAGCCTTTCATCCTTTCTTGAATACTTTTGGACATCTGTCCCAAAAGGTAAACAACGGATGCAATGTACACGATTGGTCTTTAGTATTTTCCAACGTTTATCACACTTCTTCCGCTACCAAGCTTCGCTATATTTTTGGCATCACTGGCCGCGCGTACAGCTGACTGAATCGTACTTGAGGAATCGTTCACAACGCTAGTGCTGGACAGCAAGCATCTGACTGTATTTTAGTGCCATCTGGTGTCCCGGAATGCAGCATCCTGGGACCGTTGCTGTTCGCCTGCTTTCTAGCTGATCTGCTCCCGATCAGTCCAAAGCGAGTGCCTTATGTGCGCTGATGATGTGAAAATTCATCACCGAATCGACGACGTAGCAGACTGTCTTACCATTCAGGCGGATTGGATCGCCTCTATGAAAGGTCCAAAAACTGGGGACTGAAATTGAACCCAGCTAAGTGCAATACCGCATTATTCACCCCGGCACGCCACCTGTTCACTACTCAAGCGCACTAGACGGCCACCAACTTGGATAGCTGCCAGCAGATTCGCGATCTTGGCGACTTTCTGGACGCCAAACTCACCTTCGCCAATCGCATAGATTAGACAGTCTTAAAAGCAACAGGATGCTGAGCTTTCTCATGCGAAGCGTTGCAAATACCGTCGCGCCCTCGTCAGGCATGGTTCAATCAAAAGACTTTGCTTTGTGCCTCTAACACTCATGTGAGATCATTGATAGATTACGGTAGCGTTATTTGGGACGGTTTTCCCATCTCGCCCGGCTCGACAGGGTACACCACCGGTTTCTTGTGTGGTTGGGTTCGAATAGCCAGTCCCGGTGTCCTGCACTGGATTACGAGCGTCTTCTCAGCTTCTTCAAAACAACATCTATCAAGGCACGCTTTGCTCAGTCTGACACTTTGTTTCTATACAACGTTTATCATGACAGGCTTGAACGCGCTCACTTGACATTCCTGTTCAGCCTGGCTACACCCGTCCGGGGTTCTCGGCATATTGGCCTTTTCCGCGAGGTATTTCCAAGGGTCAACACTGTTAAAGATGGAGTTGTCACACGACTACCCGCTGTCCGCAGTCACCTTTGCAGCATTCTTTCTCAGCTGACTTTTTTCCTCCAACAAAGTCGTTCCGATCTTATTTCTTTATGCTCACCGGCACACGTGGAACATTCTTTTGATGAATTTATGTACGACTGTGTGTGGTGTATGTTGGTATGTGTGTGTGTGTGTGTGTGTGGTGTGTGTGTGTGTGTGTGTGTGTTGTGTGTGGTGTGTGTGTGTGTGTGTGTGGTGTGTGTGTGTGTGTTTGGTTAGGTTTTTGTTTGTGTGTGTATCGTATATTATGGTTTTAAAATTCGACTACCGTTTTGGGCTTTTGCCTGTGGAATGCTTATGTCCGAAATAAACATTGAACAATCGAAATCTAGGATGTCTTGAATATAAAAATCAACGAGCTGCACACATGAGATCTGGCTTGCTTTTTCTGGGTACACGTCATAGTAACCCTCGACTTGGTAGGGGAGGAGTGACCCAACATCCTTGTAAGATTTTTTGAAGGATATCTTGCAATTGCTTCCAAACATTTTGCAGTCTACGGGACATCCATTGCCCGTGTTTTGCCACAAGAACGTGCTCGTGGCTTTATGGTTTCGGGGCAGTGGCGGTTTGTGCGGAACACTGCACGCAGCCTACGGCGGCGCGGCGCGGCGGGCGGCAACCAACCATCCCGCGGAACGCGGGCGGGCCGGCACTGTTACAAGAAT